GGGCAAATAAAGAACTTCCCAGACAAGAATAAACTAAAGGAGTTCATCATCACCAAACCATTATTACATGAAATGTTAAAGGGACTTATTTAAGAAAAAGATCAAAACTATGAACAAAATGGCAATAATACATATCTATCAACAAGTGAATCTAGCAAACAAACTAAGCAAACAAGAACAGAAACAAAATCATGAATATGAAGAACATTTTGATAGTTACCAGATGGAAGGTGAGTGAAGGGGAACCGATGAAGAGGTAAAGGGATTAATAAGTACAAATAGAGCCCTGGTTGGTGTGGCTCAGTGGATTGAGTGCCAGCCTGCAAACCAAAGGGTCACCAGTTTGATTCCCAGTCTGGGCACATGCCTAGGTTGTGGGCCAGGTCCCCAACGAGGGGCATGCGAGAGGCAGCCAAACACTGATGTTTCGCTCCCTCTCTTCCACTCTCTAAAATAAATAAAATCTTTTTTAAAAAGCAGGACAAATAGGCAGTTACAGAATAACCATGGGGACGTAAAGTGCAGCATAGGAAATGGAGTAGCCAAAGGACTTACACACATGACCCATGGACATGGACAATGCCTGAGTGGGCGGGTGGTGCGGGCTGGAGGGAGCGCCAAAAGGGGAAAATGGGACAACTGTAATAGCATAATATATAATTTTAAGTACTAAAAAAAAGAAAAAAAAAAAAGAAAGAAAGTACATGAACAGCTCTGGCTGCTGTTGCTCTGTGGATTGAGTGCCGGCCTGTGAAATGAAAGGCTGCCAGTTCGATTCCCAGTCAGGGCGTATGCCTGGGTTTCGGCCAGGTCCCCAGTTGGGGGCGTGCAAGAGGCAACCCAATGTATCTCTCATGCATCAATGTCTCTCTCTCTTTCTCCTTCCCTTCCCTTCTCTCTAAAAATACATAAATAAAATATTTTTAAAAAATAGGTGAAAAAAAGCATCACGTACTTCTTCCTTTAGGTAATAAAGAGTCCGATGAAGCCAAGAGGGAAGATTCTCAAAATGAGTTTGATTCTACAGTCTGGAGTTCAGGCTTAATTTTCTATAATTTAAAAAACAAAAGTCCGACCCATTGAAGAGGAAAGAAATTTCTTACTCCCGTAGACGCAGAAAGAGCGTTTCTTCCTCCTCTGGCGGTGCAGAGAGCTCCGCTAGCCCCTTCTCTCTGTCGCGGCGTTCTCGTTCTCCAGGTGCTCAAACCGCAGCCCGAGGGCAGCGACCCAAGGCCCTAGAGGAGCCTCCTCTATTGGGAAAGTTGGGAAAAGGGACTTCAATCAAGGAAACCTTCCTCCATACCCGCATTAGCCTTTCTTAAAACCTGTTCTAGCTCATTTGAAACAGCTTAAAACAAACGTCTGCATTAGTTATTCATAAATCCACCAATTCCAAAATAAATAGGAGAAAAGGATAACTGCAAAAGTTGTCAAGGACAGCGAACAGACCGAGAAGCACAATAAATATACCTAGGGAGTTCCAATCAAATCACGTCACAAAAAATGAAACAGAGGAATCGTGAGATCTCTGAAATACCTTATTTTTGCTAATTCCAACATAGCGAATGAAGCGACACATTGAGAACCAGCCCCACTCTTTCTCCTCCAGCCCCGGACGCTTCGAGAGCATCGGGCTTTGGTGCAGACGTGGCCAAGTCCAAGAATCACACCACACACAGCCAGTCGTGAAAATGGAACAGAAATGGCATCAAGCAACCCCGATCGCAAAGATACAAATCTCTTTAGGGGACAGACCCCGAGTTCCTGAGGAACGTGCACTTTGCTGAGCAGCACAAGAAGAGCCTGCAGAAGATGCAGGCCAACAACGCCAAGGCCACGCGCACACGTGCTGAGGCTAACAGGCCCTGATAAAGCCCAAGGCGGTCAAGCCCAAGCTCCCAAAGGGTGGCAGCCGCAAGCTCAGTCAACTCGCCTACTTCGCTCACCCCAAGCTAGGGAAATGCGCTCAGGCCCGCATGGCCGAGGGTCACAGGCTCTGCCAGACAAAGTCCAAGGCCAAGGCCCAAACCTAGTTCCAGGCGGCAGCTCAGGCTCACCCTCCCAAAGGAGCCCAGGCCCCCAGAAAGACTCCACAATCGAGGCCTCGTCTGCCGATGTGCGGGCAGGACTGGTGTGGCCCCTGGGCTGCTGTCTGCACGGGCTGGTGTCCTCCTGTGCTAGTTGTACAGATAAACCTGAGGCAGGGGGAAAAATAACAAAAAATCTAGCTCCAGCAGTGTTACCCCATTCCGTCCTGACCCCTGTGGAGGCTCCAAGCACATGCTCCACACTGTCTGTTAGCGACACAAACCTGAAGCCTAGTGTTACGTATGTCACCCCTGGTTGGAGAAACTTCTGATGGCTTCGTGCGCCTACAGATTAAAATTCAAAACACAGCATATGAAGGCTTTGGGAGGCTCTGGCTCTAATTTCTCTTTCCAGTCTTATCTTCCACTTTCAATTCTCTAGACCCATCACACTCCAGCCCTTGCCTGAGCTGTTCCCTCAGCTTCAAACACCCCCCTGGCCCACCGCCTGCTCGAATCCTATTCTTCCCTCTAAGCAGCAGAGTACAGTGGGAAGAGCCCAGCCTCGAAGTCCAGATCCAGGCCCACTAGATTTCTAATTCCATTTCCACTACTTAATAGTTTAATGAACTTAAGCAAATACTTCAATAGATCTGTTTATTCAACTAGGAGCAGGCATATTACCTATGGAACTCTGTAAGGCTACTGAGGAGGATTAAGCATAATGATTCAAAACTATCTAGCTACTTAAGGCATAGTAGATACTTAAAGGTAACTACTGAGCCATCCTTCTCCCTGCCTCCTCTCCTTGCGTAAATTCCCACAGCACTCCGTGCCCACTATGGGCACTAACAAACTGCGGGATGCTCATTCATGTACGTATCTGGCCTCTCCATTAGATTAGACAACATGGTCATGGGTATGGATTTCTAAATCTCGGCCACTTACTTGTGCAACTTACTTGACCTCTCAGAACCTGATACTCCCTCAATAAATTAAATGAAGGTGACACCTCACAGTATAATTAAGGGGTTTAAAAGAGTTTACGTACATTAAATACCTGGCATAATGCCTGACACCCAGTAAGTTTCAAAGAATGTATAATGGCAACCTGGATGATGAACCTGATCCAGAAACTGCTTAAAAAACACAGAAATGTAAAATTCATCTGCCTTATTAGATCCAATTTCATAAAGCCATCTTAATACAACTCTAACCTGCTACTCACCTCTTACTGACATAGGTGCCCTCAATGAAGACAAAAACAGAGATTTCTATGCACTTTACTTCAGACATGCTATCACATATTTATGTTCTTCCAATACCCGACTGAGTTCATCATGACTCAGAACTCACATCACCTCATTACATTTAAACAACATGGGATAACCCTGAAGAGTTGTAGGGGGTGAAATAGTCTGTCAAAGTTAAACAAAACTCTGAAATTAATGGTCTATCAGTGGAAGTTGTTGATTCACTCTGAGTCTAATTGGCTGTATCATCAAATTCTCTGCTCAAAACGCCAATCAAATGTCAACTAATTTCTATGATAGCATTTCTCCATTTTATACAGTTTCAACCCACTGCTCAATTTTTTTAAGTTGATGTACAATTAACATACAAGATCCTATTAGTTTCAGGTGCCACTGCTCAATTTAAGAGAAAAACTCCAAAATTAATTACAGTGAAATCTAATCAAGGAAATTACAGAAAAGTGATAACTCGCTAACATAAAAAAGACAAATCACAGTATTTGCATTCCACTCTCAGTGATACACAGGTTGTCTAGCACACAAGTCAAGGGCTTGGGAAAGGTTCTGAAAAGATGGACTTAGTTTTAAATCTGACACCACCACGTACTGTGTAACTTAGGTACCTTACTTCTTAAGCCTTATATCCTTCATCTATAAAACTAGGATTGTAACAGTACAAAAATCTCATAGCGTTGTATTAAATGTGATAATGTGTGCTAAGTGTTTGGCAAAGTACTTACATCATACACAATAACAAATGGTATTCTAACTAGGAGTGCCTGAGCACTAAGGTTATTGGTAAATAATTGCTGAAATTAATGAAAACCCATTTACATTAGGAAGTGTACAACTAACTTTAATTCTCTCTTAAGTTAAATGATTAATAAGCAGCAATACTGTCTGTTTGGGAGCATTTTACATTTTACAAAGCCCTTCAGACATCCATAAACTCATTTGATCTCTACAATACCCGTGGGGCAGGGGGTATATATTTTAAAAATACGTATTTTAGAAATAAGGAAATTGGTATCTACCAGGGTAACAGAGTCAAGGTTTCCCATCCTAGTGGCCTCCTCCACACAATTATCCCTAAAGTTCCTAACACCACTTGGAGATCCCTGCAAGTTACCACCCTCAAGCACGGTCAAGCACGTGAGTCCTGGAATAAGCCCAGGGTCATAAATCCCGCCAGAAGCCACTGATGGCATTTAAAATGTTGCGTTTGTTTCTTCACGTAGTGTCCTCCCACACCTTCAGGGCGGGGGCCAGGCCCGCCCTCCCCCGCCATATCCCCCAACACAAGACCTTGCATCCAAGATACCCTGAGTAAATACTTATGGAAGTGACATGAGAAGCTAATAAGTTCCCCAGAGTCCCGAAACGAGCCCACTCCGGTGGTGGGGATTAAGCATTCAGAGTCGCTGGGCGGAGAGGATCCAACCTGGGAAGCATGGCTGAAGATGGGCGCCCATAGGGACACCAGGGAAGCTGAACCGCTGAGGGAAGAGGGGGAGGCGGGGCTGGCAGCAGCCACCGCCGAAAGGCCAGGGACAGACAGGGTCGGGGGCAGCCGGGCAGTTGGCGTTTGGGGCGGGGGGGAGGGGGCCGCCGAATGGTCTAAGAAGAACCCTGAGCCCAATCTCAGGAGAGTTCTGGGGTCCTCGAGAGGCCCACTCCCCAGCCCGCGGAGGCACTTGCTGCACCGAGCACTCGCTGCTACCTGAAACTGCAGCAGCTTCTCTGTCTGCTCCTGGGTTAGATCCCGTTCCTCCGGCGCCGCCATTTTGCCGCCGCCTCTACGCTTCTGACCCGTCCGCACCGTCACCCGCCGGAACTGATCTCAGCAGCAACTACGTCCGGTCGGAACGGCCGCCGGCGCGCAACTGCGTCTGCGCGTGCCGGCCCAGCCGTGGGGGTGGTTGTAGTAGTGTTGGTGGCAGTGATGATCGTTTACGCCGCCAGAGGGCGCCACTCTCGGGCAGATCCCGAACACTTTCGGAAATTGCCGAGGGCCTGTCCGAGGGCGGTACCAGTCACCCTCACAATTTCGGCGAAGAAAGGATCTGTTAGGAAGCTAAGACTACTGAAGAGATCGCAAAAAGCCGAACAGTCCCGAATCCCATCGAGAAGCTCCGGAAATTCCGGAAAAAGACTCCCGGCTGGTTCCCGCTGTTCCCTAATCATACGCCGGTGAACTCAGATATTCCGGAGTATTTCCTGGGAAATTGTGGCCTTTACCAAATATTGGCGGTTTGATGTTTGATTCCCGCTCTGACATTTCCAAAAGATCCTGCCATCTCTTAGGAGGTTCCTGAAGTCACCGAATAGTGGTCAGGCATTTGACGCTGACTTCGAGCCCGAAGCAGCCGAAGGCTGTGGCGACGGGAAAATATAAGCCTGAAAATATCAGCCTTGAAGTCTCTCGCTAGGATTGTTTGGACTTGGCTACCAGGGTCTTTGATGTTTACTGGTGCCACCAGCCTTAGGCAAAGCTTTCCGTCCAACCCTGTGTGACCCTGCTCTTGCTGCCTTAGGCCTCGAGTCTCCTGCCCACTGGCCCACCGGTGGGTCTTCCCTGTGACCCACAGAAGGAAGATCCCTGGACTGAGATCAGGAGACTTGGGTTCAGGCGCTAATGCCCACCTTGCAAAGAGGACATCGTTGGACAAACCATCTGCTCTCTGGGCTCCTCTTCGTCATTGGTAGAATCAGTAGCCCTGACATAACCTCAGTGCATTGTCCTTGGATGCAGACCCTCACCCTTTACAAGGCCTTAACCCCACCCTTCAGTGTCTGCCTTCCTCTGCACTGTCCTTGTGCTTTCCAACCTGCCACTTCTCTTTAGAGCTTCCTTTTGCATTTCCACATCTGTGCTTCTGCCATCTGCCTCCTCTGGCCACTGTCCAGGAGGCCTAGGCCAGGCAGAAAGGTCAGGTCCAGGTGCGCGCTCTTCCGTAGACTCCTGGCATGACTCTCCTAACCAGGCCCCGGTGCTCTCCCCTTCTGCAGGATCCTACCGCTGCCGGACGTCACACGGTTGACTAGGTGACACAGCACAGAAGGTGCTTTGAAAGCCGAAATCCTGTGAAAAGCACATTAAGGGATGGAAGGACTTCTGTTTGGGCTACTTTTTCCAGGCCTGGATCAGGTCTGCACAAACTTCACAACGTCCTGGAATTTTTCTTACACCTTTAAGGGAAAATTGGAAGTAAATAACTGTGACTTTATGCTCTGGCTGGAGTGGCTCAATGGATTGAGCGCTGGCCTGCAAACTGAAGGGTCGCCAAGTTTAATTACCAGTTGGGGTACATGCCTGGGTTGCAGGCTGGGTCCCGAGTTGGGGGCATGCGAGAGGCAACTGTTTCTAGCACAACGATTTTTCAATCCCTGTCTCCTTCCCTTCCCCTCTCTCTAAAAATAAAATCTTTTTTAAAAAGTAAGTAAAATACCTGTGACTTCAAAGAATTTATTTCATCGACTCAAAGCTCAGAGGAGATGTAGTTCTGTTCAATGTCTCCAACAACGCTGGGCTCACACAGACTGGGTGAGGCGTGACAGTCAGATGTCCTCGGGGTTGTTGCGTAACTCTGGTTTAAGGTGCTCCTTCAACAGACGTATCTTGCCATTTCAGTAAACACCATTGGATGTTTTTCACTTCTGCAAAGATACACCTTCGTGGTCTACATTTCTGTTTTCTTCTTTGAGTAAAGACATAGTTCCAAGAAATATTTGAGTCTTTTTCACTCTACAGTTGGAATTTGCCGCACTGCAGGGCATACAAAATGGCGAACTTGGGAGTCCCTTCCCTGCCCAAAGGTAGTTTACGCTTTTAGCTGCAGCCCACGGCTTGTGTGGAAGACCAGTATTGTCAGAACTTCTCATTTTTGGAGAGCACCTACACATTTGGATCTGTATGTGAAGTCTCCCCATTTTAAAATAGTGATAACTAACTCGGCTTTTAGGAAAGTGACTCTGTCTTTCAGCCATGGTTGCCAGCCCCTCTTCAGCCCCAGGAGTAGCTGCCAGCCTGCCCCTCGACCCAGGCAGAGTCCTCATGGCTTCCTGCATCACTGAAGGAGCCAGTCTCAGAAGAACCTAAGATATTTTTGATAAATTCAAGATGAAGAGGGTTGAAAATGGCATCAATTATTGGCTTGCCCTCTTCTTTCCATTTTTTCCCTGTTATTTTGCTTTTTAGAGCAGTGCTGTCCAATCAAAATATAATGTGAGCCATGTGTAATAAATACTCAAGTAGCTACACTTTAACACATGGGAAATTAATTTTAGTAGTATACTTAAGCCACTACACCCAAAAAAATGCTGTGTAATTGTTGAGCCCCAATATGAATGCACCAGTTAAAAAGGACTCCTAGTGGCTAATTGGGCTCAAATTTTCAAAGAGTCTAGTAACCATTGCTAAGCAGGGATCGCTCATGCGCTCTGCACTGAGCTTACCTGCTCCCTGATAGATTCTTGCGGCCTGAACAGAGAGCAGGAAACAATCCTAGGAGAAACAGCAAAGATCCTAGGCTTGTAATCAGCCAATGGGCTGAAGACCTGCCCCAGCAATCCAGGCTGTGCAGCTAGAGCTCCATTTGCATCTTTATCAACCAATCAAAGGGGCTCCATTCTGAGAAATCAAGGACTGGAGTTGGGTGCTCTTCCTTTCTTATTTTTTTAAGATTTTTTTTTTTATTGCCCTGGCTGGTGTGGCTCTGTGGATTGAGCACCAGCCTGTAAACCAGAAGGTTGCTGCTTGGATTCCTAGTGAGGGCACATGCCTGGGTTTCAGGCCAGGTCCCCAGACCGGGGCGCTTGAGAGGCAACCACACAATGATATTTCTCTCCCTCTCTTCGTCCCTTCCTTCCCCTCTCTCTAAAAACAAATAAATAAAATCTTTAATAAAAAAAAAATCAATCGGTTTCCTCTCACGTGCCCCCAATTGGGGACCTGGCCCACAATCAGCAAACTTTCCAGGCCTGTGCTCAATCCACTGAGCAACACCAGCTAGAGCAGGTGCTGCTCTCTTTATAAGTCAGCTTCACCTCTGCCTCAACTGATCTGACTTTCAGTTTCCGTCCAGTACTGTGTTGCCAGAACCACAACACCTGGAGCCTATAACACTGGGGCAGAGCAGAGCTGTTTTTGCTGAATATAGTCTCCCCCTTTACTGGGCCCCAACTGGGAACTCAAATTGGTGTTGAATTGGCAGTGACAACAACCTTCCATTGCCAGTCCTAAGTCTTCAAAATCTGGTGTGTATTTTACACTTAGCCACAACTCTATTTGGACTAAGCCACATACCAAGTACTCAGTTGATGGTGTTGACACATACGGATAGTGGCTACTGTACACAGTGGACATGCATTTCTAGGACATTCTAAAGATTCTTTCTTAATTACTCACCCAAGGATATGTTTATTTATTACTTTTCTAGAGAGAGACGAAGATAGAGATGAAGATAGAAGCACTGATGGGAAAACATCGGTGAGTTGCCTCCAGTATGCACCCCACCCTGACCAGGGATCCAACTGCAACCTAGGTATGTGCCCCCCTACCGGGGACAGAACCTGCAACCTTCCGGTGCATAGGACGATGCTCCAACCAACTGAACCACCCTGCCAGAGCCTGAAGATTTTTTAATAAACGTATTAATTATCTTTATCTACAGATTTTAGGAGTTGATTAAATAAATATTTTTGAGTGGCTCTGGACCAGACATTACAGAGATAAACAGCACGGGCCACTGCCCTCTAAGAGCAAACAGTTTACCGTATTTTGCCGTGTATAATGCGCTCCCACTTTTTGAGCCCAAACTTTTCAAGAAAAAAATCTTTCCAGGAAAAAAATCTTTCATTTTAATTGTTTAATTACGTTATTTATTTATTTATATTTAGATATTTGGTTTTTTGTGTTATAAAGGAATTTTAGCATTTATTTTTGAACATATGGCACAAGAAATTTTATGTTACAAATAATTGCAAAACACAAGAATCGATACAAGGTTTGTTAGGGTACTAGGTGATGCGGGCTGTGAAAGAATTCACAGACAGAAGAAAGTGTAGAGAATAAAGTTTTTATTTGCTCCCTAAGAAAGGAGCGGCATATGGTGTGGAAGGAGAGATACACTCGTATTGAGGGGCGGGGCTTTGAGTTTTTACTGGATCGTAATCGGATTAGAAAAGGGTGGGGGTTGCTGTGGTGAGGCCCCTGGGTTGCCGCGGGCGCTGTAGCAAAGGGCTGCAGTTTGTTCTACTGTTACCTTCGGCCTACGGCTGTAGGGAGCGATTGGTTGTGTTCTTGCTTTCCAGTAATTTCCAGGCCTGAGGACAAGCTCAGAAGAGTAAAATGGCAGTCATGTTTGATACGGTCATAGGCCTGCTGGGCAAATGGTGCCGCAATAGCAAATGGGGTTGGCTTTGTCCTTTCAAGGTACAAGGAATTTTAAAAAGAATTAAAAACATTTACATAGATATGGAATTAGTACGACCCATATATAACGCATACCGTTTTCTCTCCAAAATTTGGGCAGAAGGGTGTGTATTATACACGGCAAAATATAGTAATGGGAAATCAGGTATTCCAGGCTCCTCTGGCCCACCCACCCCCTTCCTCCCGGGCTCCCGGTGGGTCACCGAACTCAGGACCCTCCCTCCCTCCCTCCCTCCTCTCTGTCCCCCGAAGCCTCATCTTCCCTGCTCTGCGGTCCCCTTCCAGGACATAATTTACTCCACGTCTTTTTCTACTCCAAAAAA